CACTCAATTGTTAATCGCAGCACTTTTAAACTTTTCAGCAGGTTTGCCACCTCTTTGGAAGTGCTCCACGTTTGTAGCACGTGCTTACGATCATAAGGATAATTGTCGTATCAGACTATTACTCTATTAGTCGTCTATACGTTAGATTTTCCTGACGTGATTGGCCTTTGAGAAGTAACTGCTACATTTCCTTTTCTGTTGAATTCTATTGGAACTTGTAAGCGATTTTTCATCCTTAATTATAAGTTCTTGAAAGAAACAAAAGATCCATTTTTTCCCTGATGGTCATAATTTTTATATTCAAATGGTATTTTGGTCCTTAAAAATGTATATTATGTGCAATATAATCCATCATTAAATTATGTATACAATTTAATATTTAAATTATTCAAATTCATTTCATGATATATAGTTCAGACAATGCAAAGGGATTAATATAAAATGAGTTTAAATAATTCAAATATATATTAAATTGTCATGCAATATAAATTAATGACTAAATTACGAATGAGGTATAGTTTCACTTTCTAACATTTTTTTTATCGAGATTTTAATATTTTATAGAGGGTTCATTTTTTCTACCATTAATGTATATAACTTATCTACATTGAGTTCAAAATGATGTCATTTTGAGACCGAAATCAAGATATTTTTGTAATTATAATTTACTTCATGGTTATAATAGTCTTTTTTATTATAATTTTTTAATTTTTCAATCCAAAACAACGTTGTTTTCGAAGCGAATATAGATAACTTTTCTACATTTACTGTAGAAATATTAAAGCCTTTTATAAACTTCCAAACCATTTATTTATTAAGTGATAATTATTATTATATATTTTATTTTCCAAATAGTATACCTTTTTCTTACTTATTCAAATCAGTTTTTTTGTTACTTGTTACTTGTTAGAGGGTATTTGTCAGGTGGAATTTTTTGAGATTTTTGAAAAAGTTATAGTGGTAATCTATTTATCCACGTTTGATATAAAGTTTCTCAATTTTTTTTAGGAATCTGATTTTTCGGAGATTTTGTTTTATGTATAATTTTTCTTCCAAAATGTTATTAAGAATACCTCCTATTTTGAGAAATTTTTACACTTTTTTTAAGATAAAATTCTGATAATATTTTAACCTATAAAATAAATTTTTTAGTAACATTTCTGGAAAAGTAATTCTCCCACTATAATCTTAAAAATAATAATTTTTAGACAGAAAAAAATTTATCCTTTACCAAGCACTGTTTAAACAAAAATTGTAAAGGAAAAAAAGAGGCATATGGGACAGTAAAATAACATGATTTTCTACCTATGCCGAGGACAACATGGGTCCAAACGACAGAACAAAGCTGTATGATTGGCTAAATCGTTGAAATTGCATTTATCTCGTATATCTTCACTAGACAAGGTTATTTGGGTGTGGGTTTGGCACGAGAGTATTTACAATAATTAAAACGTGAAAAGGCCTAATTTGAAGTGAATGAAAGGAAATCTCATAAAGAGCACCAATAATAAGTTGAGAAAAGGGAAATTACATGCGCTCCATGTTTTAATATACTTTTTTTGAAAATTTTATTTAAAAAATTTATTGGGAGTATTTGATTCCATTGTCCTTTATCATCATAATCTCATAGGTCTTGTCATGCATGTGATGTCAATCCCATGGACAAAATAGGTCTCATTTCATGCCGTCTAGGAAAATAAACTATAAGGAATTAAGCTTTTTAATATATTTAATAACTTTTTTGAAAATTAATTAATTTAAAAGAGGAGTTTGTTTTTTCTGCGAAGAATGCATATAAGTTATTGTTCAAAATAACATATTTTGGAGTAAAAATTAAAGTATTTTTATAGTTAAATTTATTTCAGTATTATAATAATTTTATCATTATAAATTTTCAATTTTTCAACCCAAAACGAAGTCATTTTGAGAATGAATATAAATAACTTATCTGCATTCACTGCATAAATATTAAAGCCTTAAAAGAAAGAGAAATTATATTCTCACGTTATATAAGATTCATCTCTCATGTCACACTCACATAAAATGATGTCTTTTTTTTAAAAAAAATTGGTGAGTTCCACTTTATTGAGAAAAATGTTTGTTATTTTAAATGACATAAAGTTATGCCATTTTAAGATAGAGATAAACACACAATATTTTTTTATTTAAAATTTAAATTAAAAAATCACCCACTTTCTCTCTCCCATAATTTTTATTTTTTGTATCTATCTCTCTCCTAAAATGACATAACTTATGTCATTTAAAATGACAAACACCAAACCTCCACTTTATTTGTCTCTGAGATAATTTATCTCCCATGTAAATTACATGAGAGAAACAAAGCCTTAAAAGAATACATTATTACATTATTTTATATTATTATTATTATTATTATTATTATTATTATTTATTTATTTTTTTAACTTGCTGGCAAATGTGGAGTAAAAGTTAATCATGTCTGTTTTTTTTTTTTTTTAATATTTTACTCCTAGATAGGAGTGCTTGAATACTGAAGTTCGATTTTTAGTATTTTAGGATACGGTATATATAGTCTGCTCTAACAACGTGAAATAAAAAAGTTTCAAAATAATTGTTATTTATAAAAATGTTAATTTGTTTTAAATTATTTATTATTACTATAAAAATTAAGATTGCATTAATTATTGTTTTTTACTTTTATCCTTATTTTATGATATATCTATATACTAAGTGAAATAAGGGAGAAAATACTAGTTAAATGAAAAGATAAATCTGATCAAATGAAATTATATTTTCTTAAAATTAAGCAAAAATGACCGTTTTAATCTTTATATAAAATATTAAATGAAAATTATTTTATAATAAGTTTTAGCGTTTATATACAATTTACTCAATTCAGCTGTATCAAATAAATGCCTTCTCCAACTTTTTTTTAGTAAATAAGCTAAATAAGGACATGAATGACTATTGAGTAAAAAAAGCATCAATGAACCAATGGCTCAATTAACAAAATCTGTTAGCATGTAAAATATTTTAAGTTCATTAGTTGTAGAAGAGATTGTGCAGAATGCACAAAATACATAAATAAAAAAGAGATAATTAATTTATTCTAATTGATTAAATTTGAGTTACAGAAAGTATTTGATAGACATGCTTATTTACTTTGACATTTTATACCCCTAAAATTAATGAAACGACTATATATTTCTTACCACCATATAATATATAGTTGCGTGGTCCATAAGAATGACAAAAATATAGATATTCTATTTGAGGATATTGTGGGATCAATCTGACAAATAACATACGGTTTTCACATACCTTTTTGGGTGCACGAACACAAAACTTTTGATTTTTGGCAATACTTATGACGGTTGTCCTCTGCGCAAGTACGTTGCCGCCACATCTAACTTTAAATAAATCACTGAATTCATAACAAGTCACACTTTAAAATTTGATTCCTGACTTATTTTAAGAAAAAAATTGAAATATAGTAAACGTATTATTTATAGTTTCGTAGTTGCATAAAAAACATTAATTTGTCATTTACAAAGTAAATTCTAGCTGGCGGAGTACCTAATTAGCAACCAAGCTGTCCCTTATTATACCTTATTTTGCAAATTGATAGGGTAATGTGTCTAGGGGCATTGGGATCTGATGCTGACAATATATGCATAGTAATTTATAATATTATGACCTACCAGATTCAATAATTCTAAGCTTTTCGATGGTTCTTGATTTCCAACATTAAGAAGCATCCAATAAGAAAATTGGAGTGGACCATAATATGTTGAGCATAGTGTGCTTCTCTTTAATGCCAATTTCCCCCCAACATTAATTACCACACTCCTGGTGAAGTTATATTCGTAAGAAACAATAATGAATAAACAGTACACTAACGTGTGTCTTTTTTAGCCTTATGATCTTTTCCTGCAATCAAAGAGAAAATGCGCGAACCCCCTTTATAAAATAACCGAAATGTAGTATTCCCCTTTTTATGACTTAGTTTTGTTCACTCCTCAATTTCAAGTCGATAGCAACCTCTTTATAGTATAGAAGCCTTTAAAAAATTTGTTTATGAAGTTTATTATTAGTTATAAAAAAATGCTTTTTTCCAAATCTGTAATAAGCACATCACTTTAATAATATGTAAATTAGAAACTAAGTTGAAAAGGGTAATACGAAAAATAATAAAAATTATATAAATATAAAGTGATATAAATGCATTTGTGTGTGTGTATGTAATTACTAGCTGTATTCTACTTATGGATCTTGGTTTGAAGGCAGCTATGACTTGAGATTGTGCTTGACATCTTAACGCTAAGAGACAAATAAAAGACAAAAACTCTCAACAGTATGACTCTAGAGAGAGAGAGATTTTATAAGCTTGTGCCAAAGTGTTCTTTATTAATGAAAATTTACTGCATTTAAAGGAAATCAACCTAACAATTTGTAACTATTTGGTTCAAAACTTGAACCTTTCAAAATGAAATATATTGGTTTCAAAATACGAATTAATTATAAATATTTAATTAAAATTTTTAATCTAGTATTACTGAAAAGATTAATCTTAATAAAAGTAATTCAAGAATAACATCTGCCATGTAATCTTAATCGATGAAAAGTGATTTAATATATATATATTTTTTTGTAGCAGTCTAACTGAGATACTCAGCCATTAATTTTCTTAGCGCAACAAGGCTGAAGCCTGAAGGTATTTATATATACGTGTCAATACACAAAAGGCTCTACGTAACTAAGATCTACCAGGTTTTCTCGATACAATAAAAAGCAACAATAAAAAAATTTCCCATCACACACTCTCTCTCTCTTACTTTCTCTCTGTGCTAAACCTGTACTCATAAAAGCGACCCACTCCCCATTCTCAACATTTGTTTCACTTATAAATACTTCCCCTCCCAAGTGCCCCTCAAAAACACACATAACCATTCGCTTCTTCTTCTCACTCTATCTCCCTCTTACTCAGAGTGTCATTCTTCAATTAATACCCTCACTCCGCAATGAGACTCTCCCCAATGAGATCTCTACACCAAGCTCCAACGCTCATTTCAGCCACAACAGCCACAAAACTCACCATCAAACCACAGTGCATAACCTTAACTCAACCAGCCAAGCCCAACACCTTACAACAATCCAATGACACCGTTAAAAAGATGGAGAAAATGATGAACTTGTCATCATCGTTTGCATCATCATCATCATCATCGGAGAAAGTTGGGAAGAGATGGAAGGAGTACCAAGGAATGAGAAACTGGGATGGTTTACTAGACCCATTGGATGAGAATCTTCGTGGTGAAATCCTTCGCTATGGTCATTTCGTTGAGGCTGCTTATAAATCCTTTGAGTTCAACCCTTCCTCTTCAAACTACGCCACATGCAAGTTCCCCAAGAGCACACTCTTCGAACGATGTGGTTTATCTAACACAGGTTACAAGGTAACTAAACACCTACGTGCAACCTCAGGGATTCAATTACCTGGTTGGGTTGACAAGGCACCGAGTTGGGTTGGAACTCAATCAAGCTACGTTGGTTACGTCGCAGTGTGTGACAACAAAGAAGAGATTAAAAGACTTGGTAGAAGAGACGTGGTTATTGCATTTAGAGGAACCACCACATGCTTGGAATGGCTCGAGAATCTTCGTGCCAATCTTACTCACATTCCATGCAACACCAACAACATTATGTCCTCTGAAAATGGAGTACCAATGGTGGAAAGTGGGTTCTTGAGTCTCTACACTTCAGCAGCCACTACTAACCCTTCATTCGTGAGTTTACAAGAGATGGTGCGGCAAGAGATTCATCGGATTCTCCAAACCTACGGCGGAGCACCGCTGAGCTTGACCATTACCGGCCACAGTTTGGGAGCGGCATTGGCCACTCTCACGGCGTACGACATAAAAACCTCCTTCCCCCGGCCACCGCTTGTGACTGTTATATCCTTCGGCGGCCCCCGTGTCGGAAACCGGAGCTTCCGGCAAAGCCTTGAGAAGCAAGGGACTAAGGTCTTGCGTATTGTGAACTCCGATGATGTTATAACAAAAATGCCTGGCTTTGTGTTTGATGAGGTGGACAAAAATCGTGCTGACGTGTCAAGCAATGGGATGTTCCACGTGGCTGGTTTTCCAAGCTGGATTCAAAAGCGAGCGGAAGAGGCACAGTGGGTGTACTCTGAAGTTGGGGAGGAATTACGCCTTAGTAGCAGGGATTCTCCGTACCTCAGGGGTGTCAACGTTGCCACGTGTCATGATTTGAACACATATATGCATCTTGTTGATGGCTTTGTCAGCTCCACGTGTCCCTTTAGATCCACTGCGAAGAGGTTCCTTCAGGGGTGACTTTGGAAGAGTCTGTGGACCAGTACAAATCTTAATTATAGAAATTTAAGTAAATATAGAAAAAAAGGGAAACAACCCTGAAAATTGGTTACATGTAATTGTCTGTAAATCAAAGTTAGATCTGACAGTTTTCATATTCCATGACTTAATTTTTTGGAATAATGCATGATTCAATTAATGACTTGCAAATTCTTGATATTCTTTTGCTAGCTTTTTTGTCCTTTATACTGTATAGCTACCAAACTTTTTTAACAATTCATTGCAGAAAAAACTGGTTTGGCACCATAGAAGGGTAATGCGTTCATTCATTCATTCATATTGCATAATTTTGATATCTTGTGTAATAAAATAACATAGCCCAAAAATATCAAAGAGTGTTTCGCAATAAATTGGCTGAAAAAAGAAAAGCCTGAATCAGAAATTAATATAATAGTTTTACAAAACCGAAGTTGTAAGTGAGCGCAAAAAGGGTAACCAAGGCCCCATTGATGTGGGCCCATTTGGTTTATTTTTGAGCTCTAAGAAGAGTGCAAGCGTACTTTCCACCGTCGAGGTTCGCAATATCCACATCAAGTACTAACGAAAGCTACTTCCACTGTGTGGAGATTAATAATGCAAACATGTTTCCGTGTAAGGAAAACGCTTGGATTATCTTTGCTAAGAAAACAAGTGTTCTTACCTATAAGGAAAGCAACGCACCAAAAAATTCCCTAAAATTTTACAACATTGTGCATTTTTCATTTCAGATACTTCTTCAACCTTACACAATTGTGTTGGATACTTCTTTGATATTTTCAACCCAATATCTTTTTTTATTATTATCATGTTATTGCCACCATCAATGACTACTCAATCATGTCCAAGAAGGGGGAAAAATGTGTGGCCATTGGTTAATTTTATTTTGGACGGAGTCACATACGTTGTGATCATGTTATTTTAGGTAAGTCCCGATTCCAGAATAAACAATGAACAAATGGAAGTAAAACCTAGGATTAGAAATAATGATCAAATGCACACGAAATGAAAGCATGAACCCTCGGCAATCAATGGGTCTAAAATAATGGGTCAATTTTACTAGTCAAAATGATATTAGTGGATTTCTAGCTTCTGCAATATATGCAATGGTAAGTTAATGATCGCATACATTGCATGTATGAAGAATTTGAAGTCAAAAAGTGCTTGAAAATTTAGTTGCAAACGTAAAGTAGTTTGCATTTGTTAACAAACTGATAGATTAGTCGGTTCCTTTCGTTTTGACAATAACTTGTCAAACCCCATGTTAGGTCAATGTGAAAATAATGAATATAAAAGGTCCGAAATGGATTAGAATAATTAAAAGAAAAAAAATGTTTAGATCAATGCCATTTCAAAGATTAATTATTCTGAATGTATTAACTATTAGGTATAAACCTAAAAATGAATTTTGTTTCGAATATTGAGAATGTCAGTGTTCACCTTGATAAAAAATAATTAGGTTACCTATTGCGCGGCTCCTAAGCACAATTGAATCCCGAGACACGATTAAGCTAGGAATTTTAAGATGTTATGAGCAGGTTGCAATTGTCAGCACGAGCGTACGCACAAACAATGAAACAACAACTTCAATATATCTGTGCAAATATATCTCATGCTCCGTGCAAATTAACAATATATAGGACTTGTGTTTTTTTTTTTTTGTGGAAAATAATATAGGACTTATGTTTGTGTAAATGGTGGAGTTAAGGAGGGGTTAAGATGAGCGTTCACTTTTTTTTTTTTTTGGAGTTATCCAACCCTAATTATCTCTTTGAGACGAGTTGGCTCCCTCCGGTATCCCCACGAACTTCGACTCTTTGAGCTGGCTATGGGACTAATCCAGAGTGCGGGGGAACAGTGATGGCTAAAGGTTCAGAGCGTTCACTTTTCTAAACTCATATAAGCCTTTTTTTTTTGGAAGATAAAAGGAAATTAGACACCAACAAATATTATTATGGGTTTTAATGTCTTATCGGTGGATTTTTTTTTTTTGGTCATACATATAGTTGCAGTTACAATTTTAATTTGTCCCTAAGCATTTAACCGTGAACATCATCTCTAATTTTTTTTTATCATATAAACAACTATAACATACAAGAAAAAATGCAGAGTACAATTTTACCCCCTTCATAAATTTTTTTGGCTCCGCCAAATTGGAATATGCAAGAGACTCAATCTGAGAAAGCCCCCAGCCAAATGATGAGTATGCTTACTAAGTAATTGCTTAAATTTGAAGAAAGTCAATAGTTCGTACTTTATATATAAAAGATTCATTAGGTGATGATAGACTTGATTAAATACAAATTACTTACTTTTCATCAACAACTTAAACGCGCTTTACTCTTCAAACTCCCCAGTTTGTTGACCAATTCTTCTTTTCCAAGCTTTGATTCTTAGATTCCGGTGTGTTAAAGTTGAACATACGAGAATGTTAGGCTGTTGCCCACAATATTGATAAAATTAAGTCGCGCTATCTTGCTGTTCTTTCTAACCACACTATAACGTGAATCTTTCATAGCGCATAAACAACGATGAGGAACCCCTTCTCTTTTACCATTGTCAAGTCATATTCATTTGAACAGGAGCATGGTATATAGTTCTTTATTTAGATAATCTAAAACCAATAATTTTTCCAAAGATGCGATATCAACATAAATAGGTTTCGTTAGAAGTAGCTGAACAAATTTGAGTACATGATCATAATGTGTTATTATGCTAGAGCTTCCATGAAGTGGTTTGATGGCGGTGGCGGTAGGATGCTCCTTTGTCTACTTTGGTGGAATAAGGGGGGTTGGGGATTGTAACACTCCGATGTTCAAGGCACTATCAGATATAATCATAATGTGCATAGTGTGCAAGGTCTAATATTTACCTGACGTGTATTGCTTCTTGTATGGTGAACGAGGGTGAAGACTCCTCTTATAATATGATGGCTACCAAGAATCGCAAAGGTAATGTTTGGTATGGAAGATATTTTTTTTTTTACCGAGAAAAAAAAAAGATTGTTAGAGATTTGGTAGAATTTTTTTTATTCCGGGTTAGTTACAAAAAAAGTATTTGGTTGGCCAAAATTTTGTCAGAAAAATTGGACTAATTTTACTTATGCTATGTTTGGTTGATAGTAAAATGTTGATAAGAATGTGAATGGAAATTACCAAAATACCCTTAATTTTTTGAATATAAAAAGTGAGTCATCATCAAATGTTGCTTTTTTTTAGAGAAAAGTGAATCAAATGTTACTTTTTCAAAATCCAAGACCAAGGAAAAAAAAATACCAAAGGTTGAGTGGGAAAATGTTTTGCCATTGTGTAATTCAAAAGTGGTTTATTGGGGAAAAAAAATTGCTGGCATTTTGTTCACAATACCCATACCAAACATGGTAAATAAATATTTTCCACCCCCACTTTCTTATCATATTCCATACCAAATACTCATACCAAACACTTCCAAAAGGGTTTAGGGTTTTTTCCTTAGCTATTAAGCCTAATACTTAGAGCTCGTTTGAATCTTCTCTTTTTTAAATTAGAACTTACTTATAAGCTAAAGCTAAAAACGGGCTCATCTCTTTTTTAAGTTAGAAGTTACTTATAAGCTAAAGATAAAAAATAGAGCTAAAAACTGTTTGATAATTACATAAAAATTTTAGTTTAAAAGTTAGTTAAAAGCACATATTTCAAGAAAACTATTTTTCTCTATATCTTTATAGCTCTTCATTTAAAAAAGAGAGCACACAATTCAAGAAAAGCATATAAGAACTTAAATAAAAGCTCCTCATATGAGTTTTTATCTTTTAGCTTTTTCTTCATTATAAAAAAAGGAGCAGTTCATTATAAGATTTTTTCTCAAAACCTGTTTGGCCTTATACTTATAAGAAAAAAAGTATCCAAACAGGCACTCACTGAGACTAAGTTGTATAAATATCCATAACAATATCAATTCTTAGTAGACATGTTCAGAGTTTTTTTTGTTGTCTCAATATTTCTTGTGTCAGTTATGAAATTTAATACGTGTTTTGAAGAGTATTTATTGGTAGAATTAAGTGGGTCTCTTTATTATTTGTTATTGCTGATATAATGAGTTTTTATTGGGGTAACGTAACTTTTAATGTCATCGGCCTTTCTATTTTCTCTTTCAGGTTTTTTTTTTTTTTTATTAAAATTCGCTTCCAGCTTTTTTATAGCCTATAATAAATAGACTTATGTTATTTGCTTTATGAAATATAGAACAACATTTCCATATTCTACTCAATGGGTGCAGCTCAGTTGGTAATTTGGCGCTGAGTTAGTGGGGTTGGATATGTGTTCGATTCCCGCTGAATGCATTCTTGGGGAGGGGGCTGAACCTTGAGCCATCACTGTTCCCCCGCACTCCAGATTAGTCCCATAGCCGACTCAAAGAGTCGAAGCTCGTGGGGATACCGGAGGGAGCCAACTCGTCTCAAAGAGATAATTGGGGTTGGGTAACTAAAAAAAAAAACATTTCCATATTCTAACATTGGTATAAGAGCCTTGGTGTCACGGGTTAGATCTTCACCGTCCACTATTTAGTTAACAATTACTTAATCTTGTGGAGTTTCTTAGCACAGGTAGATGGACATGTGCATTATCCACTTTTCAAGTCCAATAAGCTTTTGTGTGAAGGAGCTTGTTAGAGAAGTATAAAACTATTAATGTAATCTTACCTAACAGTTTAAACTTTTGAGTTGAATAAGTTCTTTACATGTTGAAAATATTCAAATGTGAGTTATAAAGAAGTCCCACATTGGTTAGAATTGAACTAAGTGAGGACCATATAAGTATAAAAGACTCATAGACCTATAATCTTAAGATTTTGGATTGAGATGTGATATTGGCCCACTTATTGTGGTTTGTCACTTAGGTTTGTTAGTGAAAAATTCCCTTGCAAAAAGTTTGGGGCTTCTCATACCATTCTTAACAAGACATTAATGACTCAAAGTAAATGAGTACATAAAATAAAAAAGTAAA